CACACACACACACACACACACACACACACACACACACACACACACACACACAAACAAACACGTTTGTTCCTCTGTCCTCATGGAGACTTTGCATTGACTTTCATTCAGTTACCGTTCATTTCCATAGCCTAACCCCGAGCCCCTAAACCTGACCTTAAATCTAACCTAAACTTAGTCCTAAACCTAATGCCTGACTCACAAACGGTATGTGGGGTCCTCACCAGGCTGTGTGTACCAGCAGGGGCGGAGCTACCATTTGTGCTTGGGGGGCACAGGGGTGACCAAGCTGGTTTTTGGAGGGACACATACAAACAAATAAAACTACTCTGGATTTTAAATTGACTCTATTGTTCATAGAACTCCATGAACAATAGAGTACTCAGGGCACTAATGATCTATTGTTTAGTTGATGGTCCTCTTTTGCATATGAACAACCTGTTTGTCCACCATGTGGAGGCAGTGCTTATAAGGCTGAGTTCACCTGAAACTCCTCAGACTAGGGGTGGGCAATACTGGGAATTTTGGTATCAATCTGATACCAAATAAATACAATATATATAAGCTACAATCGCTTATTTCAATACCGATTCCGACACTGGGGGGGCTGTCGGCCGCGAAGATGACAGCGGCAGCGCCTGGGACTTATTACTAGTCTCATTACTAGCAGCAGAACAGGTTCAAAGATGGTCATTTGATGTTATTGTTTTTTTAACGTCCTACAGACTCGGACATGATTTAAAATTTTTGAAACTGAGATTTTGAAAGAATCCATTAAACTTGAAAAAATCAGTGAGATTTCTCTGCAAAATGATGGAAAGTCTCTGTAAATTATGGACAATCCAGAAAATTTAACATGCATGAAAATTTATGCCGTAAGGCCATGGATTAGCTAAAAAAAAGTTGAATACAGTATGTCACAAGAGCTCTTTAAAAATTTTTTCACTATTTCTCCTCCAAGAAAGTTCTTCAGCTTTATGAGAGCCTAGGTGACTTCACATAAACAAGTTAAACTATGATCAAAACTGTTGTTGATATGCAAAAGTGGACCATTAGCCGATCGTTACTGGCCCGATTATCACCTATTGTTGAAAGAGTCACTCCTGCAAAAACACTATTGTAAGACATGGAGGAGACCCCCAGTGCTAAACGGCTTTGGCAAGCCCTTTAAGTCAAAACTCATTTTTAGACATCTAGAATTTAATTATAGATAGTCAGACGAAACCAATTTTATGCTAAAATGGCCTGCCATAAAACGGCAGCCGGCTTCTCTTCACAAATATAGCTTTTATTTCTCTCTCCTCACTGCTGCTCTGATTCTGAAGCCTCTCTCCCCCCTTATGTGTGTGTGAGAGAGAGAGAGAGAGAGAGAGAGAGAGAGAGAGAGAGAGAGAGAGAGAGAGAGAG